ACCTTTTAATGATTTATAGATTGGTCTCCTGTGTATCAAAGTATCTATTGCTTGTGTTACGGGTAAAAGGTTTTAATATTGGGTAAAATATTAGTGTATGTCAAATGCATTGGTGCTAGTTGAAATATATGTTGCATGTTGAAAATATGTTTGTCTTTTTTTTTTTTTTTTTTTTTTTTTTTTTTTTTTTTTAAGATTCGCGAGGCAGAGCCTCGCCCGGGCTATGCCTATTTGGGGAGCCCGGTATGTTTGTCAAAATGCATGCTATTTGACAGTATAGAGATTGCTTAGTAGGGTTAGAAAAATAGTATAACAAGTTTGAAATTTTTATTGGTAGATGCAGTTTTCTAAATATAAATAGATATATGTTTGTTTGCTTAAGGAGTTACTATTTAACAACGAAAATAATTTTAGAAAAATACTTGATATTGATTTCATGGAAAATACAAGTGTCACATGTTTTGATTGAAGACAATATTATTGACTCCTTACATATATACTTGTATTATTATATCTATGAACAGTATATTTCTGTCATGTTTTACCATATTTTAGTCTTTGCTTGTGTCACAGCCAGGGCCGGATTATTCTACAGGCTGCAGCGTAGGGCCCCTCAAGCTTGTTTTTTTTCACTACGGTTGTGTTGAAATATTGTAAAATAGTGGTATTTAAAGAATATTTTTATTGGCAAACAAAAGATAGCTATGTTAGTTTACTTAAATAATTTGCAATAAGTTTACTTCAAGCTATGAAAATGTCGCTAAAACATATCACGAGTAAAAAAATATTTTGAGGGGACCCCATCATTTAATTAGCCTAGGGGCCCCAACAGGTCATAATCCGGCCCTGGTCACAGCATATAATTTCTGCAGTGATGTTATACACCTTAGATCCCTTTCATGTTCACAATATCATACAAATACTCTCACATACTATGGTCGTTATGACTCAATCTGTTCAGCAAAGGGATGCTTAATCTAGAATGTAGTATATTGTAAATATCTATTCCTCTATACTATCAAACTGACCGGAAAAAGTTTTTTCTGTTGTAAACTAGTTTGACAGCAGAGGGATTCCAGAATTCAAGTCATGGTTCATGTTTGCCTGTTTTTTATAAAAATTCTGAAGCAGAGTTGTTCTTTTTACACTCAACATTGATTGAATAATGATTGAATAATGTGGAAAATCTCTCTCCCTCACGAATTTGTGTGTGAAATCAAGAACAAATGTGCTTACAATCATGAGTGTGTAGGTGTGCGTTAATGTGTTCATTTATGTGTATATGCAAGTATATTCAGTCTTGTTCATGATTATGTGAATACCTAAATCCGTAATTGTGCATTATATGTTTAAGTTTATTTACTGTATGTGCACATGAATGGGAATGTATAGATACGTTTACATATTCAGAAATGTAGATTTGTGCATACTCAGCTCGTATATTGGAGATAAGGATGAATTAATACATATTTCTAAAACTTAGCACTAGGTCAACATTTATTGATATCATTACATGACATTATGAAACATGAAAATAGCAAAATATATAATGAACTGGTGCCAGCCTTGCACAAGGTGGCCTCATATCCAAGTGAAAGTAGGGGAGACATTTATAGATGGACATATATATGCCTAGTTGTGGGATGATGCGGTGGGGAGGCTATTTCATCTCTGCCCCGATTTTGACTCCAGCATGATGCCAGTACTCACAGCTGAGAGGCAGAAAGGGACTAGCTGAGTACGAGCCAGGACCTTGCTATTGTAAAAACCACCACTCTACCACAGAGCAATGCCACCTCTTAAAAATGTACATGAAAACATTGAACGAGCACTCATACTCACAAACAGTCATATCGATATATAAAGCTCAGGACAAATATCACATATAAAAATGCAAAACATACAGTTGGTCAGATTATAAAAGGCCCGCCTGCGTTTATTCCTCAACGCCGCTGAAGTTGACGAAGCAGTTCATCCCGAAGTTGTCTGGGTCGAGGATGGCGATGAAGGCAGAGACCGTGGCTGCGATGCCTCCCACAATTCCAACGCAGATGATTTCGATGAGATAAACACGTTCCCATAAGGGTAGATTTCTGGTGTGGAGGAGGTCGTGGAAGATATGGTGAGTCTCAAGATTAAGGTACTGTATATTTAATGAGTTTCGTTGTTAAGAGGAAATTTGAGACTTAATTCAGGTTAGGCGGAAATATGAGTTCAGTGAGGTCCTTAAGATGCCATGAGTAGAACGAGGGAATGATAAAAGAGAGGCATATTGATACTTTGAGCAGAATGACCCAATGTTGCCTCAAGGAAGGGAATGAGGGGGAGGGGCATTTTAAGCATCCTAAATAGGACTGGACCATTAAAAAAGTCCTATCTAGGTAAAACAAAATCACCCTTTTCTTGAATATAAAGAAAAATGTAACACTCCCATACACATAGCCATGAGTCTGTTTCATTAACAGAGGGTGCGTTATGATAAGAAAATATTTGGACCTTGAGGGATTTAGTAGGTTAGTGGGATGCTGATACGGTACGAAGGACTATAATCAGGGAAGTTATGAAGGTCTGTCAAACCAATGTGAATATAATAACTGTTTTAGATTTTACTTAGAAAGACTACATTAGAAAAATATAAGGTTGGTCTTATAATCACGTGATTGCCCAAATAGCTTCGGGAACAAAATCATACATAATTATGTTATAGAATACCTAGGTCAAGGTAACTATGCTTCACCCGGGTATGTTTTTTTTTTTTTTCTAGCATACACAATAAAATGTATATAGACTAGGATATATATATATTAGCTGAATATGAAAAAGATCTACTTCAATTCTTTTCGAAATATAAACATAACTTTTAACGTCAGAAGTTGACTGATCTTAAAGAACATATCTTTCAAGACTCTCTTTACTTTTGGCGTTCTTAACCCTGCTGCTACTTTAGGTCAAATATTGTTATATGCTTTACATTTATCAAAATAATGAGCAAACAGGCAAATATGTACACTAAAATTTGTCGAAGAGCTGGCGAATGGGAGATAGGCATGTACAAAAAAATGTGTTTTCTGAGAGCATACATTTAAGTATGCAATATGTCTTTGTACTGAAATATTGATTTGGCCTGAATATGCAAGCGGTGGCTGTGTTCGTATAAAGAGTTAAAAGACGACGAAGTATTCAAGACAGCAGAGCAAACTAAATCTATCTAACTTTACAAAAAGAAAAAAAAACGTTACGTTTTCCTTCTTGATTTACCTAAGTTAAAGTACTCAAGACATTTCTATATTCACGTTCAAATATATTATCAATCAATCGTTTTACTATTGTACTGTTCAAATTACACTAAAACCTTTTCGAAATCGATTATATGGACACCAACACATCAGATACAAACTACCAACATTTCCAAATGTTCCTATCATACCATAAGGTACCATAAACAGCTCACCTTTCAGGCCAATTAGGATCCTTCTGGTCCATGAGCTTCATATACATAAGAGGAGGGAAAATGAAGGTATTCATAGTGATGCAAGACCCTCCGATGAGGTTGAGGATGAGGCCAAAATCAGGGACGGCGAGGCATATCAACATCTGAATCACGACCATACTGGAGCGAAGGAGCACCCGCTTGATGCCGAATTCTGGTGAGGAGGAGGAGGAGGTGGTGCTTGGGTTAAAAAAGAGGGGGAGGTTTAGGGGTAGGTTCGTTGCGTGTGGAAATGTGTGTGTGTGTGTGTGTGTGTGTGGATGGGGGTGTTATTGTTTGAGGGAGGGTGATGAGGGATATTTTCTGTTTCGTTCTTTCGCACTTTGTTTTCTCTGCATTTTTCTCTTTATTTTTTCTCTCTCTCTTTCTTTCTCTTTCTCGTTCTGTCTCTGTCTCTCTCACTCTCTCTTTTTGTCTTTGTGTACCCTCTCTCTCTCTCTCTCTCTCTCTCTCTCACGACTTATAAAACAAAACAAACAAACAAACAAAAATAAACTCGCCATCAATTTGGAACATAATACACCAACAACAAAACGGAGAAACACACACTAACACACACACACACACACACACAAACAACCGTACCCCCCCCCCCCGAAAAAAAAACGGTGAAAAACCCTCTTCAACTCACTATTCGGAATATTGAAGATTTCCTCGACACTCTGCACGACGGGGTTGATGCTGATGACGTAAGTGCTCACCAGATTGATGATTTCCAAGCTGATGGCGATCTGGACGACGACTCCTTCCGTCACCGAGAGGAGGATGTTGCTCTCGACGTCATCGCCGAGGATTGCGTAGCCGGAGATCGCGACGGGCAGGTAGAGAGTGAGGATGACTGTGGGGGGGAGGAGAGAGGAATGACTGTAGGGGGGAAGGGAGAGGATGACTGTGAGGGGGAACTGTGGGGGAAGGGGAGAGAATGACTGTGGGGGGAAGGGAGAGGATGACTGTGGGGGAAGGGGAGAGATGACTGTGGGGGAAGGGGAGAGGATGACTGTGGGGGGAAGGGAGAGGATGACTGTGGGGGAAGGGGAGAGAATGACTGTGGGGGGAAGGGAGAGGATGACTGTGGGGGGAAGGGAGAGGATGACTGTGGGGGAAGGGGAGAGAATGACTGTGGGGGGAAGGGGAGAGGATGGCTTTGGGAGGAAGGGGAGAGGATGACTGTGAGGTGGAAGGGGAGAGGATGGCTTTGGGAGGAAGGGGAGAGGATGACTGTGGGGTGGAAGGGGAGAGGATGGCTTTGGGAGGAAGGGGAGAGGATGACTGTGGGGGAAGGGGAGAGGATGACTGTGGGGGAAGGGGAGAGGATGGCTTTGGGAGGAAGGGGAGAGGATGGCTTTGGGAGGAAGGGGAGAGGATGGCTTTGGGAGGAAGGGGAGAGGATGACTGTGGGGGAAGGAGAGGATGACTGTGAGGTGGAAGGGAGAGGATGACTGTGGGGGGAAGGGGAGAGGATGACTGTGGGGGAAGGGGAGAGATGACTGTGGGGGGAAGGGGAGAGGATGGCTTTGGGAGGAAGGGGAGAGGATGACTGTGGGGGGAAAGGGAGAGGATGACTGTGGGGGGAAGGGGAGAGGATGACTGTGGGGGGAAAGGGAGAGGATGACTGTGGGGGAAGGGGAGAGAATGACTGTGGGGGGAAGGGGAAAGGATTGGTTTGGGTTGTGGTGGGACGGATGGGTGGGGAGGTGGGGAGGTGGGAGTGAGGGAAGTGCGCGCGCGTGTGTGTGTGTGTGTGTGTGTGTGTGTGTGTGTGTGTGTGTGTGTGTGTGTGTGTGTGTGTGTTGTACTCTCTCTTTTTGTCTTTGTCTCTCTGTGTACCCCCCCCTCTCTCTTTCTCTCTCTCTCACGACTGATAAAACAAAACAAACAAACAAACAAACAAACAAACAAACAAACAAACAAACAAACAAACAAACAAACAAACAAACAAACAAACAAACAAACAAACAAACAAACAAACAAACAAACAAACAAACAAACAAACAAACAAACAAACAAACAAACAAACAAACAAACAAACAAACAAACAAACAAACAAACAAACAAACAAACAAACAAACAAACAAACAAACAAACAAACAAACAAACAAACAAACAAACAAACAAACAAACAAACAAACAAACAAACAAACAAACAAACAAACAAACAAACAAACAAACAAACAAACAAACAAACAAACAAACAAACAAACAAACAAACAAACAAACAAACAAACAAACAAACAAACAAACAAACAAACAAACAAACAAACAAACAAACAAACAAACAAACAAACAAACAAACAAACAAACAAACAAACAAACAAACAAACAAACAAACAAACAAACAAACAAACAAACAAACAAACAAACAAACAAACAAACAAACAAACAAACAAACAAACAAACAAACAAACAAACAAACAAACAAACAAACAAACAAACAAACAAACAAACAAACAAACAAACAAACAAACAAACAAACAAACAAACAAACAAACAAACAAACAAACAAACAAACAAACAAACAAACAAACAAACAAACAAACAAACAAACAAACAAACAAACAAACAAACAAACAAACAAACAAACAAACAAACAAACAAACAAACAAACAAACAAACAAACAAACAAACAAACAAACAAACAAACAAACAAACAAACAAACAAACAAACAAACAAACAAACAAACAAACAAACAAACAAACAAACAAACAAACAAACAAACAAACAAACAAACAAACAAACAAACAAACAAACAAACAAACAAACAAACAAACAAACAAACAAACAAACAAACAAACAAACAAACAAACAAACAAACAAACAAACAAACAAACAAACAAACAAACAAACAAACAAACAAACAAACAAACAAACAAACAAACAAACAAACAAACAAACAAACAAACAAACAAACAAACAAACAAACAAACAAACAAACAAACAAACAAACAAACAAACAAACAAACAAACAAACAAACAAACAAACAAACAAACAAACAAACAAACAAACAAACAAACAAACAAACAAACAAACAAACAAACAAACAAACAAACAAACAAACAAACAAACAAACAAACAAACAAACAAACAAACAAACAAACAAACAAACAAACAAACAAACAAACAAACAAACAAACAAACAAACAAACAAACAAACAAACAAACAAACAAACAAACAAACAAACAAACAAACAAACAAACAAACAAACAAACAAACAAACAAACAAACAAACAAACAAACAAACAAACAAACAAACAAACAAACAAACAAACAAACAAACAAACAAACAAACAAACAAACAAACAAACAAACAAACAAACAAACAAACAAACAAACAAACAAACAAACAAACAAACAAACAAACAAACAAACAAACAAACAAACAAACAAACAAACAAACAAACAAACAAACAAACAAACAAACAAACAAACAAACAAACAAACAAACAAACAAACAAACAAACAAACAAACAAACAAACAAACAAACAAACAAACAAACAAACAAACAAACAAACAAACAAACAAACAAACAAACAAACAAACAAACAAACAAACAAACAAACAAACAAACAAACAAACAAACAAACAAACAAACAAACAAACAAACAAACAAACAAACAAACAAACAAACAAACAAACAAACAAACAAACAAACAAACAAACAAACAAACAAACAAACAAACAAACAAACAAACAAACAAACAAACAAACAAACAAACAAACAAACAAACAAACAAACAAACAAACAAACAAACAAACAAACAAACAAACAAACAAACAAACAAACAAACAAACAAACAAACAAACAAACAAACAAACAAACAAACAAACAAACAAACAAACAAACAAACAAACAAACAAACAAACAAACAAACAAACAAACAAACAAACAAACAAACAAACAAACAAACAAACAAACAAACAAACAAACAAACAAACAAACAAACAAACAAACAAACAAACAAACAAACAAACAAACAAACAAACAAACAAACAAACAAACAAACAAACAAACAAACAAACAAACAAACAAACAAACAAACAAACAAACAAACAAACAAACAAACAAACAAACAAACAAACAAACAAACAAAAATAAATATCTATCTGAATTATAATGCAACCTCAAAGTCTTCAGTAGAAAGAGATAAACATCTACCTGATTTATAATGTAACCTCAAAGACTTCAGTAGAAAGAGATAAATATCTACCTGATTTATAACGCAACCTCAAAGTCTTCAGTAGAAAGAGATAAACATCTACCTGATTTATAATGCAACCTCAGTCTTCAGTAGAAAGAGATAAACATCTACCTGATTTATAATGTAACCTCAAAGTCTTCAGTAGAAAGAGATAAATATCTACCTGATTTATAATGTAACCTCAAAGTCTTCAGTAGAAAGAGATAAATATCTACCTGATTTTTAATGTAACCTCAAAGTCTTCAGTAGGAACGAGGTAAAAATCAAACTGTTACGTTAAACTCCAACCTCGATACAATTAGTAGGATTATATAGTAAACGAGGATGATTAAACCCTCATTGCCTTTACGAGAAGCAAAACAGACCTTCCCCTTCTTGATACCTTCAATAAAGACAAGACACTTCTTCCTTAATAACTTCAGAGGAAACAATATTAACTTCGACTCCAATACCTTCAGTAAAAATGATAAACTTCCTCCCCAATGTCATCAGTATAAAGTTCTATATTCCATCTTCCAAACATGTCATGTATATGATAAACATAGACAAGTATTTTTTTATAAACTACATAAAATCTTCACGTCTAGGTAACTATGCTTCACCCAGCTACGTTTTTCTTCTGACATACACAATATTTTTTTTTTTATATATATATAAACACCCATATTACTCCATATCAAATAGTCATCTTGAACCAGGGGACAAGAACCTCCCTGCTCACCCACCTGCAAAGCCGACGAGGGCGCTTTTCCAGAACTGCGAGCGATCTTTCATGTCGTTCTGCACCGTCGGGAAGACAGCCGAACCTCCGAAGGCGAAGAGGATGGCACCGAAGCCGAGGGAAAAGGATCCTATGGTCGGGTTAGGATACCAGGGTTCAGGTAAAGACGGTTTCTCGATGAAAACCTGTACGATGATGACCACTACAGCTACCACGGTCGAGACCACTGCCATGATCGATGCTTGCCTGTAGAGGAGGTGGGTGGATGAGATGTGGATTTGGGAGAGAGAGAGAGAGAGAGAGAGAAGAAAAATAAATAAATAAAGAGAGAGAGAGAGAGAGAACAGAGGTAGACAGAACCAAACAAACACTTAAAAGACAGATCCAACCAAAGATAAGAATAAGCAAGAACTTAACCAAATATATATATATATATATAAATATCCAAACTTCAGAAACAAACAGGAAACAAAAAAATCAATCTCACCAGAAGTCCTTCGGCGTACCGAGCCAAGTGAGGGGGATGAGGCAAGTCCCGACAATGAGGACAAGCGCGCAGGTGGAGAGAACAGACTCCATGGACGCGATCATTTGCGAGATGAGGATGATGTAGACAGTCGTGCTTCCGTACAGGTTGATGATGACTGATACGAGGGCGGCACGTCTGCGGGGGGGAGGGGGAGGGGGGAAGAGGGGTGATTAGAGGGGTTGTAGAATATGGGTTGGATGACTGTAGGAGGAATAGGTGGATAAATGTATGGATAAGTACGGATATATGCATACGTGTGTATGCAAGTAGGGATGTAGGTATGCGCGCACGTACGAACATGCACGCACGCATGAACGCAGACACACAGACACAGACACACACAGACACACACACACACACACACACACAAACACACACACACACATACACACACACACACACGAGAGCGGGTCGTTAATTATCCGCATTTTCCACATAATGGCAGAGTGGGCCGTAGAAAACAAAAAAAAAAAAAAACACTATTTTCCAGTAAGTTTTCCTTCCTCTGTTAAGTCCAGTGTTCCACGAATTGCGAGAGACGCTGAAGGATCAAGGGAAGGCAGTTTTTTATCTGAAGTTATATCGAAAAATTATGCTCTTGAGAGTCTCTGATCTTGCTTTAATTGGCAATTATGCGAAAAGTGCAGATAACTGGTTTATTCTCTCTCTCTCTCCCACACACATATATTTATATATATATTTATTTATTTTATAAATATATAAATATTTATATATATATGTAAATATATATATATATATATATATATATATATATATATATATATATATAGATATATATATTCATATATACATCTACACACACACACACTCACACTCATATAAGGAAAATAAAAAATTATATATACATATATACATATGCACACCCACACACACACACACACACACACACACACACACACACACACACACACACACACACACACACACACATATATATATATATATATATATATATATATATATATATATATATATATAAAGAAACGACGCTTAGTTGCAGCAGACAGCGCGACGCCGCCCCACTCCCCTCCCACCCACCTGCCGGCGAGACCGAGGGCACGGAAGGCGATCTCCATGTAGGGCTGGCGGATGGTTTCTTTGTACTCCGGCCAGCGCTCCTCCAGGATCAAGCGACAGCGGCCAAGACGAGTCGCTGAGAAGGCCACACTCCCGCAGAAGAGGATCATCATGGCCACGCCCAACCAGCCTGTCGAAGGGCGCCTGGGTTCAGAAATCTTTAGTCTTCGGGTGAGATGGTCGTCGTGCTTGTTGGGATGTTTTCGGGTGTGTCTGTTTATCTAGCGTTCTGTGCATCTTTCTGGCTGTCTGCCTGCCATTCTCTGTCTATGTGTCTGTCTCTTTATCTTAATCTAATTATTTATCTATCTTTCTATCTGACTCTCGATGTATCTAGCTATATATTTATCTATCTATCTGTCTATCTATCTATCTGTCTATCTATCTATCTCTATCTCTCTGTCTATCTATCTATCTCTATCTATCAGTCTATCTATCTATCTCTATCTCACTGTCTATCTATCTGTCTTTCTATCTCTATCTATCTATTTGAACAAACACTCTATTGATACAAGGCTTATTCCCCATACTTTTCCCTCCCTGTGTCTACACAAATATAAACCACTTCAAAACACTATTCATAACATAAACACCAACATTCAAACATTATTCTAAGTTACCAGCGCGTTTCCTTCAATCCTTTAGTGTCTTGTAATTTCTTTTTTTTCTTCTTTTCTTTTGTTTTAGTTTGTAAAAGAAACAGGGCATGGTTTTAACTTCATAGCAGAATCTACTCTAACTTAATCTAACTTAATCTAACTTAATCTAACTGAGGATCTGGTGCAGATTTAGGGTGATGGGGTTGGGTGTAAGTGCATGGAAGGGAGACAAGGAGGAAAAGGGTAAAGGAGAGAGGGAAGGGGCGTGAGGGAGGGAGGGAGGAAGTGAGGGAGAGATAGAAACATAGACATATATATATATATATATATATATATATATATATATATAGAGAGAGAGAGAGAGAGAGAGAGAGAGAGAAAGAGGTAAAAAGACACACAGACAAACAATGACAAACAGAGAGATTAATCAGGCTCCGGACGGCTTTGGAGTAGTCTGCAATGTACAGGGTGTCACAGCAATTGATTCATGTGTAGCGGAAGGATTATAGTACACGGAGGTCCTAACAGTGCAATCATGTAAAACGGAAATATGACTCTATGTTAAAAAATATCACTGAATGCCATTTCAAAAATGACAATGAAGTATTTTAGTTTCGAATGTTGTCACATTTTGTGTTGATTTTTTTTTCTAAAATTATGATTATAAAACTGATACCGTGGTATAGAAGCCAAGAGAGAGAGAGATAGATAGATAGATAGAGAGAGAGAGAGAGAGAGAGTGAGAGAGAGAGAGAGAGAGAGAGAGAGAGAGAGAGAGTGAGAGTGAGAGAGAAAGAGAGGGAGAGAGAGAGAAAGAAAGTAAGAGAGAAAGAGAGAAGGAGGGAAAGAGAGAAAGAGAGACAGATACAGAAACAGACAGAGAACCCTACCCCCCAAAACAAAACAAAACAAAACAAAAAAAAAACAGACACACACCAACAAACAAACAGTATGCAACAGACCGCCCTTTGCACACAATCCCCAACACTCACTCGTATCCGCCACGGCTCTCGGTAGCGCCAGGAACCCCGCCCCGGCCATCTGCGCCACCAGGAAGAACGAAGTCATGCCGAGGCTGAGGCCCGTGCGGAGGACCAGCGAAGGGTCATACTGCGTGCTGACGAAGGCGAGGCAGAAGAAGGGGATGAAAGAGAGAGGGTTATTAGTTGGGTTAGGTTGTGTGTATGTGTGGAGTGGGGGGGGGGGAGAAATGTTTTTTTTTGTACTTTAAAGATTCGTTTAGAAGGAAAGGAAAGCAGTATGTATGCATATATAAAAATAGATAAATAGGAAGGTATTTAGGTAGATAGGTAGATAGATGGATAGACAGATAGATGGATAAATGGATAGATAGACAGATAGATGGATAAATGGATAGATAGACAGATAGATGGATAAATGGATAGATAGACAGGTAGATGGATAAATGGATAGATAGACAGATAGATGGATAAATGGATAGATAGACAGATAGATGGATAAATGGATAGATAGATAGATGGATAAATGGATAGATAGACAGATAGATGGATAAATGGATAGATAGACAGATAGATGGATAAATGGATAGATAGACAGATAGATGGATAAATGGATAGATAGTCAGATAGATAGATGTATATATATCACATCACAAACTAGTATACTAACCCATATCTTGTATAGACAGTTTGCATTAAACTTTGATTTGAAGATTATTTGAATGGGAATAGTCAATATTGCTTAAAATAATTTCCTTATTTTTGTGTTTAATTTTCTTTGGAAATAATTTCTTCCTCTCTTTGATATTGTTTGAATCAATTCTTTAATTTTCTGTAATAAAAATAAGATTTAATAAGAAAACAAATGTAATCTTGGGTATTA